ACGGTAAGTAAATTCATATGTATATTGGTATTATGGTATTTTTTGTAAATTTCGCATCACAATCTTATTTGCAGCCCATATTGTTTCTGGCTACCCTGTCGAAAAAATATTCGGATATTCCTTTAATGAGAACTGCTAAGCAATACATTTATCACGAGTATTATTGGTATGATAAGCATATTAGTGTTTGGTATTATGGTATTTTTGGTGATTTTCAATTCAACATTTCATTTACTGAAAAATTTTTCCATTAGATATACTGACATATTGCGTTTATCTCATAAAGTCTACATAAAATCGGTAACCTTATAATTTCAAAAAGTTATTTTGTTGATCGTAATGACCATTTTTACTACTATAGGATTCAATTTAATATAATTACGCATAGCAATGCCTCGAAAAAAGCTGATCAGCTGGTCAGCTGATCGCAAAAAACGTAATTGCCTTCCAATAAACCAAGATATGCAACAACGGCAGATCTATTTGCAACGAGCTAGGGAATGTATGCGGAACCAAAGGCAGAAACAACGGGCCGAACAAAGGCCAAAATTCACTCCCCAATAGTGTTTTGGTGCAATCATATTTTCAGCGATTAAGTGAAGATGTCAGTGCAAGGAGGCGGCAAGAAAAGCTACCAAAGACGTATTGCGGTGCACGTCTCTTCCTTAAAGACGATGAGATAGAATCAAATTGTGCTGAACGCATGGAGAAGATATGTGAGTTTTGCTCAGCTAAACTTTATCCAGGCGAGGCAGCTGATAATACTGCATCCATCTGTTGCCACAAGAGCAAGGTGAGTTTACCACCAATTTCTGTCCGCGATGAGCTGAAAGCGCAATGATGACATCACAAAAAACTATTTGGAGAATATCCGTAAATTTAACAACGGTCTTGCGTTTGCTTCAGTTCGGGTAACTTTGCCAATATTCCGGGTAGAGGACCATTTTGTTTTAAACTAGAGTAAGACGATTCTGAGATATTATTGTTTCTGTTAAAGAAACATTTAATGAAAAAGTTAATTCTGAATATATTTTCTCCTCCAATTTTGTATACAAAGTAAGTGACACCATGTTTCCCTCAACTCATGACACTCATATATCAGTCAGTTTGTAATATGTTTTTATGCATGTACCTAATAAGTATAAGTTCTGATGTACTATAAATCTGATTAATGCTTTGTAATATAAGTATAATAAAAATAAGGGGTTTATAAAAACAATTATTTCCGCGAACTATTAGAACAGTCTGCTTCTATCTGTGGCTACAAAGAGGGATGAGTTTACTGTGTATTTCTGTCTGCGCAGACTGCGCATGGGCCCGCTTGTTATGTGTTATTTATGAACAAAATGTGGGTTAAGTATAATATTCATCTGTAATGTATGCTGATATTCATGCTTAATGAAGAATAATATCAATAATTAAGTTCATAATTAACGCGTGTGTTTTATAAACTGGAAAACTCAAATAGTAATTATAGCACTGAATGGAGTTTTCTTAAATGTAAGTTTAAAATTAAGAAAAAGGTCCATTATAAGATTATATTTTTATGAAAAACGTAAATTTTGCCAATTTATCAAGCAAAATTCTAAATTTCCGAATATATGTAATTTATTAAAAAAAAAAACAAGGTTTGTATAGTTATATAGACCCCAATGCCTGCCAGCGCATCCGCCCAGACAGTTCATTAAGCACACCCAAGTTTGATTGATCTACAAGTTATAAGCGTTTTCAGCATTTAACAGTTCATTATGGCACCCTGAAATTGTGCATATGGAAACTGTGCATAAGAAATAATGCATATGAAAAAAACCGAAATAATGCATATGAAAAAAACCGAAATAATGCATATATGCACAGTTTCGGTTGAAAACCGCAATAATGCATATTAGAAAAACCGAAATTATGCACATGCACTCTTTCGTTTGAAAACCGAAATAATGCATATATGCACAGTTTCGGTTGAAAACCGAAATAACGCATATGAAAAAACCGAAATAATGCATACATGCACACTTTCATTTGAAAACCGAAATAACGCATATGGAAAAACCGAAATAATGCATACATACACACTTTCGTTTGAAAACCGAAATAACGCATATGAGAAAAACGAAGTAATGCATACATGCACAGTTTCGGTTCAAAACCGAAATAATGCATATGAAAAAAACCGAAGTAATGCATACATGCACAGTTTCGACTCAAAACCGAAATAATGCATATGACAAAGACTGAAATAGTGCATACATGAAAACGAACTTCTTTCTGCAAAGGGCCTTCGGCCGCGCTTAAGGATTATAACCCTTACTAAGTAGAACTCTCCTTTTTGTGTTGCCGGAAAAGGGGACCGGAAGTATTTTTGCGCGGAACTTCTCTCTGCGTAGGCGGCCTTCGGCCGCGCTTAGGCATTATAACCCTTGCTACGTAGAACTCTCCTTTCTGTGTTGGCGGAAAAGGGGGCCGGAAGTATTTTTGCGCAGAACTTCTCCCTGCTTAGGCGCTTAGGGATTTAAACCCTTACTAAGTAAAAGTAAATAATTAATATTAGAAAAAAACGAAATTATCCATATGCACACTTTCGTTAGAAAACCGAAATAATGCATGTAACGGTGACAGGTAATAAGGTCAATGGAAATAATGTCAATTGACTTTATTTCCCACCCTGGTGCGAAATAAAGTCAATTGACATTATTACCTTTTCAAAAGCGAAACAAAGTCAACAAAAATTTGGAAATAAAGTCATTGACGCTATTTCCTCATTCAAATGGAAATAGCGTCAAGAATGCTTAAAGTATGTCGATTCATAGAAAAAAATGTTGTTCTTACAATAAACATTGCCCCGTAAGTGTTGTTTTTTAATAGAAGAAAAAGGCTTTTGCCAAATCCTCAGTGTTGTGATATTAATCCACACACAATCATGAACTACCACCAATTGATTCTATTAAAAAAAAAATTTAAATTACGAATATGTAAAAACACGATGCGAAAAACTAAACGCCTGCGCACAGCTGGAATATGACAAATATTTGAAGAAAGAGTGGAGAAATGATCCATAACTTGCAAAACATTTTTCGTTTCTACAAAAATAAAGCGAACACTATTAAATTGAAGAAACAGTACATGTCCAAAAACCCCGGAGGAGCACTGAAAGAATTCTGTGTTTTAAATTAGCATATTTTGAACGAATTCGGAATGTCTAAGGTGGAAAAGAACCCAACTTTTTTATATGGAAACAATTATAAAAAAAGAATTTTCTTACACTGTATTTATGCCTCCGCCAGCAGTCATTTAAAAGCAGCTAAGGAGAACGACGACACTACTTATTAGATGGCACATTCAACGAGCCAATGTGCCAAAATGCGGGTATAAACAATTATTGATTATTTAATATCGGAACCGAGATCATATAAGTTAATTGATAGGTTTTCACACACTTTTGAAACACAAATTATATGCTTTTTTACTGCAGACAAGTTGTTGCCTCAAAACACAGCAGAAATCTTCCAATCAGGGCTGCCAACTCTCCTTAGTTATGAGGTGCCATATTGAGGATAAAAAAAGTGCCAAAATGTGCCAAATAGAAAAATAAAAGTGCCAAAAAAGGTGTAATTCCTTTTAATCATTCACATTTAGCAATAAAATAAAGCCACATTTTCAAAACAAAAGTGCAATGATAAAATAAGATAAACCAGTCGAAAAGCCTTTATAAATTAGAAAAGTTTAGTTGAGAAAAAGAAGTGCACGCAAAGGATTTCACAAAACTGTATTGAAATGTTATTTTTTTTACAAAAGTGCCATTTTGGCATTTTGTGCCAAAATGAAAAATTAAGTGCCATTTGAAGTAAAATAGGAACAAATGGCACGGTTTGAGCCAAGTTGGCATCCCTGCTTCCAATAACTTACAAATATAAAAAAGTGAAATATCGAGGGCTTGAATTCATTAATACCCTCTATCTGCAATTTGCACAAAAACTAATTTGTGATTTTAGAAACCATCTGGGACTTATTACCTGTCGTTATATAAGGTAACATTAATATCACTGATGACAGTTAAAGCTTAGGTGGATTTTTATATCAGAATCCCATCTTTGTGAAAAGTGTGCAGATAGGGGGTATTATTGAATATAAACCCTCGATGTTTAAAATATATAAAAATTTTATTTCAATGTATACAAAAAATAAATCTACCTGCGTTACAGCACGTCGTGAGACGGGGAAGGGGGGGCCGGGGGGGCCGCGGCGTAGCGTGACGTCAATTGATTTTATTTCGTTTTTAAAAAGGTAATAATGTCGCACCAGGGTGGGAAATAAAGTCAATTTACCTTATTTCCGTTGATCTTATTACCTGTCACCCATGTAACACTAACCGAAATAATGCATGCATGCACAATTTCGGTTCAAAAGACGAAGTAATGCATACATGCACAGTTTCGGATGAAAACCGAAATAATGCATATGTGAAAGACGAAGATATGCATACATGCACAGTTTCGGTGGAAAACCGAAATAATACATGCATGCACAGTTTCGGTTGAAAACCGAATTAATGCATATGAAAAAATCCGAAGTAATGCATACAGGCACAGTTTCGGTTGAAAACCGAAATAATGCATATGAGAAAATACCGAAATTATGCATATGCATACTTTCGTTTTAAAAGCGAAATAATGCATATGAAAAAAAAAACGAAGTAATGCATACATGCACAGTTTCGGTTGAAACCGAAATAATGTCTAAATGCACAGTTTCCATATGCGCAATTTCGGTACCCCAATGCACGCGTTTATCGTGTATCAAATGGATTCATAATAGGGAGGTAAATCTCGTATCATTCCGACTAAGCCGGTTGTATCAATACTTTTTTAAAACTTAGCAATTAGATTGTATACGAGTATTAGCGATCAGTTGTATATCATTCTCAATACTCAATCAATGTCAGAATACTTATAATTACCCTACAAATATATTTAAAAAATCTCTACTAAGGATATAATTTTTACCTTGCACACTAAATGATCCAGGGCACATTTTGCTTGCACTAATCCACTGCGTAGCTAGGGCTTGTATGCTTATATCACTTATGTTGTTAACACTTTGCAACGGCTCCATACCGTTCGTTTTTTGCAAAAACTCCACGTCCTCTTCACAGTTCTTTGCTAGATGGACCACTAAAAAGTTCTCAGGATCTGTTTTCTGTATAAAATATTTTTAAAATTATACATCAGATACATGTATACATGTAATAATAATATTTAATAGATTGGCGCATGGCCGAGCTCCGATTTGTGGCGTGCGCCTTGATGTTGTCATACAAAGAGGAGGGAGCTACTGATTTACGCCGACTCCGAACGGCGATTGTATTTTTATGAGAAGCTGTTTCTCATCGCAGAGAAGGTTTGCCATTGCCTGCCGGGAGCGACCGTTGTTACGAAAAAATATTTTTTTCAAAACTCTTTTGCGATGTTGCTTTGACCAGGGCTTGAACCCAGGTCATGCGGAATGGAAGCGCGCACTGCTTACCACTACACCACAGCGGTAGGTAAGTGCATATTTCGGCTGAGATTTCCAATAATGGACCATTTCCTATTTCAGGCAAAGTATAGCGAATTTTTAATGAAATTAGCGGGAGTGTTGAGGAAGTACTCATTGACCGACATTTTGTGTAGAAATGCTAACAGTTTTAAAGTTATTTGTTGTTAAAATGCACTAATCACTTTTCTTTTCATTAATATATCATCTTTTCTTCATAAACAAATGAGTGTACAGTATATTTTGCTTTGCTGCCTCTATGCTTAAGTGCGCATCAAAAGCATTCTTTTTAACATTTATAAGGAAACTGCTCCGATAGATGCATTCAACATACCTGCACATTGGCGATACCTGCCTTAAAAATTGTGCGCCTAGTACCAATTATCAATGAAAGTATTACGTTTACCTGCACTGGCCCTACAATTACCTAATTTTACAACCTTTTATTTATTTTGCTCATCTCGCAGAACAACGAAAATGGCTATCAATTTATGTAGTTATATAGATAATTAGATAACATTCGGTAAAAATTTCGCTTGCAGTAATTTCTACATGGTAAGTGCCCCGCCAATGTTTGGTTTCATAGGGATTCGGATACCTTCCTCATTGAAGTAGTACAGAAAATTCGCTTAAGTGCCTTTTTCGGTTACGTGCACAAGTTTTTCGTGCAAAGAAGGATGTGCAGCTAAGCAAAATATACTGTACATCTTTTTCTACTAAATATGTAACAATTAATGCAACTGAAAGAGCGAAAATCGATTTCGGAAATGTATTTCAACTTGCTCGTGCTGCACTAGCAATTTTTATTTCTTCCGCAAGTGCTGTCAAGCTAATCGAGTGTTGAAGGGTGGCACTGATCGTGAATTTTGTGTAAAATTGTAAAAAATATTGTTGAATTAAATATCAAAAATGCTTGAAATATATCACATGGAAAATATGGTAAGTATAACCCATACGTCGAGTATTAATTTTTCGTGTTTTCGTTCTCGCTTTTACAAGAGAAATAGTGAACTAACGACAACCCCACCGCCCATGGTTGCATTTTAGTAACGAGAAAGATTGCCAGAAACTCATTCGATGTGTGAACAGCCAAAAAGCGATTTCAGAAATTTTTCCTGCGACTCGCCTTTCGCAAATAAAAAACCTTTTTCGAAAGACACTGTGCATGCAAGCTGTGACTACTCATGCAATTGCTTTCTGAAATTTCTCAATTGCATACAAAATATATTGCCACGTCTGACACGCTCTATACAGTTATTCCTCTGTTCTGCAATGATTTTAAGTTGATCAATAAGCATCGTGATTCATAGGTGGGGATAGGATCCGATACGCGTAAATTACGCAACGCAAAGTGAAAGAATATTTTCTGGATCCGTTCAATTCTAGCAGTATGGTACGTATAATATGGAGACCAAATGAAGGAGGCATAGTCCAGTTTGGAACGGCAAACGCAGTATACAAAAGCTTTAGTGTATAGAGATCGGAGAAATCCGAGCTATGACGCCTGACAAAAGCAAGCATGGCGTAAGATTTCGTAATAATAAAATTTATTTGGCTTGTAATGGCTACCTTAGAATCAAATATTACTCCCAAATCTTTAATTTCACTCACCCGTGACAGGGGCGAGTTAGATAAATAGTTATAGGTGTCAATGACATCGACACGCTTAGAAAATGTTGAATGGAAACGCTTGGTTGTTTGTATATTACGAAGATATTAATTTGGCAAAAGAACAAGAATTGCAACTGTTACGTTTGCCTAACAACGCGACCCACTCGACATTCGAAAAAAATAAAGGTAGAGGTCATGTTCGAAAATTCCCCTCCAAAATTGATTTAACTAATGGTCTTGATGGTACTGTGCAAAATACGTCGCTTTATAAATATGAAGAAATCGCAAACAAACCACGAACTTCTTTTGAAATCCGTAGCAAGTGTTTTCAAGGAATATGCGAAGGTATTCCACATTCTTGCGGAGGCCCTTCTTCCTCTAATGCACATGACAATGTTTTCAATATATTTAGTAGAATATTTACCTGAGAAATAACAGAACTAAACAGTAACTACCCTTTTGAAAAGAAAACTAACGAGTAGTAAAGGAGCAAATGAGTTTCTTTTGAATACAATGGGTTCTAAGGCACGCATAACATTTAATAATTAAAAAGAAAAGGAAATAGTCTTCTTCTCTGCTCAGAGTTTTGGATAACTTCCAAGCAAAGTTTAGATAATGCATCATCTACAAATTATATGAAAAAATTTGCAAAACTTCATTCGTAGTTCAGCTGAAAGAAAGTCAGTCCCTACAAATTATAACCAACATATGTATGAAAACTCAAAGATGATGGAAGATCTTTATAAAGAAGGTCTCTTTGAATTTGAAACGGCCAAGGAAGGAATTAAAAAAAGACCAGTCTTGTATGCCAATACGACAGAACTTCTTGACTTTGTCTTTGAGAAACGGAGCATTGAGCATATAGAAAAAACCAAGATTTCTTTAAAACTTCCATCTCAATTTCAACCAAAGAAGATGAAGAAGCAAATGATTCCGATAAATTTAAGAGTAAGAACGTTTCATTTTATTCCTTTGGTGGAAGTATTTCATCGCAACGTAGACTTACTAGTGTCTACAAATTAATTGTATTATGCAAATTTAAAAAACCTTATCAGTTGTCAATCATCTCTCATAGAGTTCAGTCGATAACTAGTTCTCTCTTTGCCTTTGCGCTTTCGTCTTTTCGACATATTCTTTCAATCCGGTCATGTGTGTGAAGACTATTTTTCATTTCATTAAAGTGAAACAAACCAATTTAAACCAGTGAAATAACAAAACCCAGGATGGGCTTCGATCCGGGTGGAACGAGCCGAAACTACTACTCTATACTCGGACAAGAACCAACAAAAAAACGTAAAACCCTAAATCTAGACAACACCTTCGACTTTCCAAACTTAAAAACTTACCAGACTAGCAAAAAAAAAACACCTGCCCAAAATTTATCTCAGTAAAAAACAAAAATCCAAATACCCCAATCAAGTCACTAAACATTTTCCTAGTAGCCAAAGCGCTAGAAAGCATTACAACCGAAAAACCACAATCCACCTCATTCACGAGGGAAGGCCACCTTCTTGTCCTGACCTCAAACAAAAAACAAACCGCGAAATTTTTGAAAGCCACAAAACTCTCAAACGTGTGTGACATAGAAGTTAGCTTACATCCAACGTTAAATACTGCAAAAGGTGTGGTCTACTCAGAATACTTAAGCTCCCTATCTGAAGCCGAAATAGTTGAGGGTCTAAAGGTCAATCAATAGTTGAATGTAAAAAAATCACAAAGTTAAAAGATGGCAAAATTGTAAACACCCCACTTCACATTCTATCATTTAATTTGTACCAAATTCCAAATGAAATCGAGGTTGCATGGATGAAGGTAAAAGTACAACCCTACATTCCCTCCCCCATGCTATGCAAAAACTGCTCCAAAATAGGACACACTAAAAAGCAATGCAAAAGTGAAGCGAAATGTAATGTCTGCGCCAACACTGATCACGAAAATCCAATATGTGAGAAAGTTGAGTGTATCAATTGCAATCAACCACATCGATCCAACAACAGAAACTGTCCCGTTTTCAAGAAACGGCAAACCATTCTCAAATACAAAACAGTCAACAAATGCACCTTCAAAGCAGCCACTGAAGAAATTAATAAAAAGCAAACAGAAGAGTTCACAAAAAACTCTCCGATTGAAACGCTCACCGAAGCAACTCAAAAAAAAAATCAAACCTAAAACAGAAAACTCGAAAGAAATAACAACTCAATCTTTACCTCAATTAACCAAAACACTCGAAAACAAACAAGGAATAGACAAACCCACCTCTAATAGAAAACTCGACATCACAGAAAACTCTTACCTAAACGAATACTCAATCACAAATAAACAATCACTAACAACCGAACCTACCCAAGCAACAAACATTATTACTCAAGAATATGAAGACAAAATAAAACAAAACAGCATAACAAGAAAAAACAAAGGCAATGAACAATACTACACAACTAACCCAGCAACAACCAAAACAAGTTTTTATTACGAAATCTTGAGCTCCGAGCCAGACACTGAAATGAACTAAATTTCTCACCCTTGTATAGTAAGTCCTTAAAATCCTCCAATGGAATATTAATGGATACCATAACAACTACAACGAGCTTCAAATAGTGATAAAAAGCTATGGTCCGACAATTCTAGCATTACAAGAAACTCATTTAAAGACTAACTCTTTCCCAGCAACAAAGCCAGTAAACTACACCTTTTATAGCAAAAATGACATTGACCCTACATCAACGGCAAAAACAGGTATTGCACTTCTTATTTCCAATTCTATTGAACACACTCCAATAGCCATTAGCTCCAATATTTTAGCTCAAGAAGTTGAAATAAAATCCAAAATACCTTTTGTTATTATTAATATGTATGTATCTCCACAAGAAAAAATAACGGAAAACGTACCGAACAACATTACTCAAAACATAAAGAAACCAATACTCCTAGTCGGCGATTTCAATGCCTGGAGTCCGTCCTGGGGATACCCAAAGGAAAATCAAAAAGGCAAAATAATTAACAAGTTCATTCAAAATAATAACTTAATTCTGCTCAATGATAGTTCCGCAACCCA